GTTCTCATTTTGACTTTCGATGATTTCTAAGAAGAGTTAAAAAAAGGTGAAAATTTACCATAATACTCTTAATGAAAATGGATAGAGTGTAGTTGTGGTTTCTAAGTGGGGGTAGTTGTGGTATTTTAATTGTTAAAAAATGAAATGGGAAGATCTATTGTGGACAAAGAAAAAAGGCTATTGGGAAGATCTATGGGGGACGGATGGAGTATAAAATAAGGGCAATATTAAAAAATAATACAAAAATTATTCATTTTAAGTCTGGACCTTTTTTCAAAACGAGAAGGGTTTCATGGGACAAATGGATATACTACAATTTTTTTATTTTTTTATAAAAATGTAATGTCTATTTTACCCATAACTTTTTACACACATATCCAAACTCAATAAATTATACTCGTATGTCATTAGTCACATTTTCACAAGACTTATCCAAAAACCTGAATTTCGTTAGATTATATTATTTCCACGTCATACTTGCATCTTATTCATTAACTTTATAAAATCTTTTCATTCAGTCTTGAAAAGGTCAACCTCTAACTTTATAAAATCTTTCGGTTTTGGACGGAGGGAGTAACAAAATGAATTGAGTATATTGAGCCTAACTCCTTCACACTCATCCCGCAGTTCATAACAAATTTTTTCTCTCATCTCAATAATTGTTGTTTATTTGTATGTTTTGATTGATTATTTGATAAAATAAAAAAATTTGTGACATCTTATTATATAAAATTTTAAGTATTTTCTAAATATGTAATTTTTATTTTTTAATCTTATACAATGTTTTAAAGAAAATGATTTGAAAAATACAAAATTTTACCTCTTCGTTTTAAAGTTGTAATCAAAATTGTGACAAAGGAGTACATTTTATTTGGTACTCCGTACTTATATACCCATCAACGAATTTTCTTGCAATGAGAGTTAGTGTGACATTTTTTAAGAAAATAATATTGTTAACTATCTATCTTTTTTTAAAAAAGACTTAAAGTTAAAGTTACCCAACGCCTCAATTCTAAAATTGATATCACCATTTAATTAGAATTTAGAAACAAAAAAACCCTATTCTGGTCCGTAGAAGCAACGACAATGTACAGAAGATGATGATTAGTGAGAAGGTGATGAACGAAGAGGTCGATTTTGAAGAAAACATCATCATCTCCTTCATCAAATCTAAAATGAGGTTGGGCATCAATCAATACATGCTTTGGTATTAAACATGTGATGAATGAGGGAGTAAGCAATACACAAATGTACATTTTTTAAAATTTTTAATTTTTCAACGTTACCTCACTGATCGAGAGCCAGGCACTCAGATGTCGATGCCTTTGTTGTTCCTGATAGTGCCGGCTTACTTCACCGTGACAATTCTCCTCATTTACTTCCTCTTCTGGCTTTTCATCCGCTGGCGACGGGCGGAGGTGGAGAACACGGCTCCCAGCTCCACTTCTGCCGCATCCGACGCACCCCCAGCCCCAACTACCGCCCCATCTGCCACTGCACCACCCGCTGTTGCACCCTCCGTCCCACCTGCACCCTTGTGCGCGGTGGTGAATAAAGAGGTTGGTTTTGAAGAAAGCATCATCATTGTAACACCTAAACTCGCGTAACTCGAAACAACGAGTCAGCGAATCGGGTTGCCACTAATTTGGTATTCACATTCATAATATTTTAAAAACATTTAAAAATAAAACATTCATTCATATTTATTTAAGAACAACTTATTTTAATCGGAGTAAACAATATCAAACATTGCGAAAGCTTTGAAAACAACATTCAACGTTCCAGTAATTTAAATAAACAAATTCAACAAACTATATTTAATTTTAATATAACAGCATTGGGCCATCTACCAGCGTCACGCTTCACTGTCCTTCAAGTTGCTCTTCTTCATCCAATCTATGATCCCCACTTGTAAAAATAGGGGGAGTGGAAGTATCTAACGTTAAAACTAGTTCAGACTAATACCGATCAATATATAATCAAACGATATGAGATGAATCAGCAAATATCATTACCCAATTATACCACTATTTACCTTTATAAATAAGTTTAGTTCTTACACATACTTAATTCATCTGCCTGCTAGATATAATCTAATTCATATTTACGGAGTAATGGAATCAAGACTCTCGCTCAAACCCACACTCATAACTCCAAAGTTCTTACAATGGAGGGGGTGAGGCCCCCGCTGGCTCTCGTCAGGGGTCATTGACCACCGTGCACACGTTTTAACTCTCGAGACTATCGGATGCACGCCGTCACCTACATGACCTTAATTTCTAATTTAATCCAATTACTTATTTGCAATATACAATTCAAATAAAATTTGACTAGATATGCTAGGTCGCCTATTTCACAATTAGAGTTCAACATATACTTAACACCAATTTATTATTTTAACAAACTTAAGTTGATTTGTAGTTATTTATGGTCAAAGTGTAGAGAAGGGTCAATTCGCAAAGTATTTTAGAACAGATGTGCGCTGCACCAGCCGACCCAACGAAGTAGCTTGGGCGGAGAGCAACATTGAAAACAGAGAGAGGGAAGGGAAAGAGAAGAACAGAAGATGAACCCAGCCTCCCAAATTAGAAAAGTCTGGGTCTCCGATCCCAATTTCACATTTAAATTCCAGAAGTCACACAATTCAATAATAATATTAATCACGAATTCACCGTCAATTGAACGAGAATATATCAACGAATCTTAATCTATGAACCAATTTTAGCGAGCACTCACCTCGAATATGAATTAACCGACGTGAAACTTCTCCGGCGAAGTGCTTCGGTCTTTCTCTCCGGTTCGTCGCAAGAAGAAGATGGTGATGCCGGCGAAGTCGCAAACCGCAGATCCCCATAGATTCTCCTTCCTCTGATCTGATCGGCGATGGGCGAAGAAGAAGATGGAAGTTGCTGACGAGCCCGTGGACGTGAAACAGAGCCCAACAGCCAAGTTGCGGGCGGTATATTAATAGATGTACGCTTTGGATTTGGCAATTATAATCCAAGTGGATTACGTATCATTATTAACTATTACTCCATATTTGCACCAAGCCAACACAGGCACACACAGACACTCACAAAGTGTCTGTGTTGCACAGACATTTTGTGTCTGTGTGTGTCTGTGTTGGCTTGGTATACACTTGGAGTACCCCATGTTGGTGTACTCCTAGCATTATTATAAAATTTTCCTGATTTATTTATTAGGCTATAAGGTCTATTTTGTTAAAAACTTTTTACTCGTAAGTTCAATCTTAGTAAATAATATATCGTGGGTCATCTTTTCACGAGACCTACTTATTGACCCAAAATTTATTAGATAATATTATTTCTATGTCATATTTGTATTTTATTCGTTTACTTTGTAATCTTTATAATCTCAGGAGGGTCAAGTCATTAACTTTCATAACTCAGATTAACATGCAGAATACGTCGTTGAACTCATCTCATCGAGACCTTCAATTTGAGTATAAATTATCAATATAAAATTAACTTTAAAAATTACCTATTTTTAGCACGGTCTTTTCTATTTATTATTTTATTTGAATCAAAATTCTTTATTAAATTCTTAGATATATTTTGAGGCATTATAATCATCTCCTTCATGAATTGAATCTAAAATGAGGTTGAAGTGTTGAACATCAATTAATACATGCGTTTGTATTATACATGTGATGAATGAGAATGAGCATCAATTTAAAAAAAAACTAAACATAACTCTTAAAAAAACTTTAAATTAACTTTAAATTAGATAGAGCCCCTAATATTTTTAGTTGGGATCCGTAATTATTACATAACTCTTAAAAAAATAAAAATTTAACTTAAAAACAAAAATAGTAGGGGGCAATGGCCCCCAACTTGGACCGATGAATCCGCCCCCAACTACATAACTAGGGTGCTGTTACACATCATTGTCGATCACTTTGCCACCCTTCTTCTCAAGAAACACCTCCACTGTCCTGCCTATCTGTACAACTGAATCCACTCTTTTATGCTCCTCCTTGTGCACGTCACTGTGGTTTTCATGCCCCCATTTTAAACCTCTATTTTCTTCTTCATATCCCCAACCTATGTTTTTTGCAGCTCTCTCCACACACCTCACCACCACCCACCACAACCACCAACATCGGGCGGCGATTATGCAGATTCTAGGGTCTTCACTAAGCCAGAAACTTCCTCCTCCAACAGGCTTACCGGCATTGCGATGATTGGCGCGATTGTCGCCATCATCGTCTTTCGGTATGTCTGCTTTCTCGTGCTCCGTCGTCGCCATCATCAATTGAATCTGAAATGAGGTTGAGCATCAATTAATACATATGTTAGTACTTAGTACTATGCATGTGATGAATGAGATTTAGCATCAATTTTTAAAAAACTAAACAGAAAACCTAATTTAAGGAAAGATCCAAATTCAAAATTTAAAATTAAATGCATCAATTAAAACACGAGCACACAACCCTATATAGCTATAAAAATGAAATTCACTGCACAATCATGAGTTCCATGTTGAATGACCAAAACACGAACCATTATCAAAGAAAATCAAACATGCAAGCAAAAGAACACACCTTACATCACACAGACTACATATCATTGCACAAAAGCTTCCAAAAACACACACACACACACACACACACGCGAGTTAAAAAAACAAGAAAAGCCAGAGTTAAAAAATCCACCATGGTTGAAACCCAGAACCCCAAATCCAACCCCCCATCAAAGCATCTTCAAACCAAGTAATCTCTTTTCTTTTCAAACTCAAAACAAGCAACCCATGAAAAAAGATAAGCGGGGCAAGCATATCATTGTCATAGGCAAGTATATAGCTTATAAACGCCAAGTTACACTGGATTAGTTTTGAAAGTTAGACACCAGAGTGTCAAAGTGATCTAAGTTTGGATACTGAAATGATCATTTTTAGTGTTCAGGGCATCTCCAATTGACACCCTTTTTTAAGATATGTTGTTTGACGTTCATAAATGGTACTTATGACATGGTTGGTACCTGAGAAGGGAAGGACGTCGCTGTATTTGCGCCACAGGGAGTCGATCCGGCGGCGCGGGGATGAACTGGACTTCCGAGAAGAACACCTACCCGCGCTCCTGCGCGGCGTTTCCGGCGAGCGCGTCTCCCTGTCTGCCTGCCGGAAGTTCTATTGGCGCTCGAGGAAATCGAAGGAGGCGGCGGCGGATTGCGCGGTGGGAGTAACCGTCGTGGGGCGGCGGACAGGATCGGGAAACGGCGACGGTGGTGCAGGCGGGGTGGCGGGTTTTTTTAAGAAGAAGGAGGAGGATGGCAGCTTTTTTGTGTTGGGGATGTTGGGAGAGAAGAATTGGGGAGAAGAAGAAGATAAGGGAAGACGGGAAGTGATTGAGTATTTGAGTGGTGGGGAGAATCTAAAGAAAGCGCAAAGTCGCTAAGAAATCTAAAGGGATTGAGTGGGGGAAGATAAGGGAAGGGATTTGATTGGATAATAAAAGATGGGTCAGAGTATCATCCATTATATTCACACCCCATACACTCTTTGTTTAGTCACTGGCCCTTTTTCACTTCTCTTCAATGATAAGAATTTAATGGATGGGGATTGGGGTGGGGTATGGTTTAGGAATTTGATTAAAGGGTAGGAATCGTCAATTTTACAAATGGAGCATCGAAAATACCACAAAAATGCCGTGGCATCGCTAGTGGCAGCGTTCTCTGGTGTCACTAGAGCCGGGCTGATTTAATAATGTTGTGTATTACTAAAAATGGTAATAATTAATAAGGACTTAAAAATACTCCGGTAATACTTAACATTTCTTCCTAACAAAAAAACAACTTTCTTACATTATACTCCGTATTATATCTACGTTTGGTAATTAAAAATCTGTTTTCTAAAATTCGTTACATTATACTCCGTATTAGGAATATATCTCCGTTATTCTTGTATCACATTCGTTTACCTTATAGAATCTTTTTGGCCTTGGAAAGGTCAACCGCTGACTTTATAAAATCTTTTTGGTTTTGGACGGAGGGAGTAATAGAAGGAATTGAGTATATTGAGCCTAACTCCTATACACACATCCCGCAATTCATAATAATTTTTTTCTCTCATCTCAATAATTATTGTTTATTTGTATGTTTTAATTGATTATTTGATAATAAAAAAATTGTGACATATTATTATATAAAATTTTGAGCCTTTTCTAAATATATAGTTTTTATTTCTATTCTTATACAACTTTTTAAAGAAAATGATTTGAAAAACACAAAATTTTATCTCATAATTTCAAAATCTTTATCTCTACAATGGTGTGAGGAGAAAAATGAACAGTGTTCCCGCCTAAACTTGGGGTACCCAATTGAAAATAGTAATGGGTCCGATTGGCGGGGTTGGATTGCCCAACTTATTAGGCCAATTCATTAGGTTTTATGGTTAAGTGTGTACATCATGCGTATGGGAAAATGTGTATGGCATGGAGCCACACACCATAAAATAGTCCACTTTACCTCAAATCAATATTTATTACGAGATTATGTCAAATCAAATTTTGGTGCGTTGCTCAAAGAAAAATTTGATACAGTGTTCAAGAGAAATTTGGTGTAGTCCTCAAGAGAAATATATAACTACATATTCAATAAAGTAAAAGATATTGCGTTGCTCAAAGGAAGCTTTATGTCAAATTCAATTAAATGAATAGATTTACCAAATCTATGCATTTATTAAATAAGTTCATAGTTTCTTTGTCCAATTATTATATATACTCCTTATACTAAATCGGCACTCCCTCAGAATCTGATCCCAAAAGCTTCCCCTTCATATGATTTGAGGTTGCTTAATGGGACATTTGGGGCACCTTCATATTTATTTTTAATGACCGTTTGAACGAATCTTTTCTAGATGAGACTATCCTTTTTTAGCAGATGGGGTTCATCCTATTTTTAATAGGAGTAGTCGAGAATAAGAGTGGTTCGTTTTCTCTATATAGTCCGTATTTACTACGGAGTACTTGTCAAAAATATTTCAAAATATTGATACTCCGTATTGTTTTGATTGGACGATCATGTATCACTTCAACCACCATAAACATATTGCAACACTCAAAAGATATTCTTTTTGTTAATTGAATAGTGCAGAGTTGCATATCAAACCTATCCAAATCAACCACCTTCGTGATACACTATTCATGAGTGATAACCAGATTTTATTGTAAATCAATAATAGAGCTTCGGCCGCCCTAGTAGTAGGGTAGGGATGCTAGATTACACCAAGAAATATATCTAATCGATATTTTTATAATTCACATTGATATACTCCGTAAAATATTAGTATATACGGAGTATAATCAAAAAAATTTAAATTAATATTTTCTATCATTGTAAATCATTACACTAGCATTACATTAACATAAAATATTATTGCATGTTTATGTGGTATAAAATGGAGATATAATTTTTGAGGTACAAATAATTTAATTCTTTTAGTTATCTTGATTATAGTCTTGTTTATTTCAAAGCTGATTGGAATGATTTATAATTGGAGGTTGTCTTATTTTTTCTCATTTATTGATTTATGACATTATATTTTCCGACTTTATCTCACTTATTATGAGATATGAATGTTTAGGACAATTTGTTATTCCCTCTATCCAAATAGTCTAACGCCGTCAATTTCAAAATCTCAGGTCCCCCTCCCGATTTGATGCAACGTCTCCGTACACATCAAGCAAGTGGAGACCGGTGAGGAACTCCCTTCCTCCGATTACTAACGCCGCCGGCGACTCCCACCACCGGGCAGAAACTCCGGCACCGGCAAGACACCGACGTGCTTCGTTTCCACCCCACCACCTCCGTCGTCGCGGTGCAGCACGGCGTCCGGCAATCCACGCTCCCGCTGCACCCGGAATCCGTCTTGACAGAGCATAGCGGCTCCAGAACGGTGACTGGCGTCATACGGCCGGCGGCGTCTTCCCCGCCCCATTCTTCAGTTGCCGGAGAGTCGCCGCCGCCGCCATCGTCATGTACGCTAATTAATTCCGAAAGCTGGACCCCACGACTGAGAAGATGCTGAAGCTGCTCGCGATAATTAAACAAAAAGAATTCCCAATTCTTAGAACACTAAAATTAAAGTGTTTTTTTTATCTGAATTGAGAGTATGAAATTTAAAAAAAAAAAACAAACCTTGCAAGAAATTGAGCAAAAGACATGAGGAATTTGAAGAACCCTGTCACAATTCAGACAGGGGTTGCCGGAGCGTGCCCGGCAAGGCCGCGTTAACGGCCGTCGCTTCAAGAACACCACTTTCGCACCATTGTTAGTGTACGCCTGCAAAAGAAGAAGGAAAAAAGACAGAATTTTTAATAAAAACAAAAATCAAGAAACCCAACAAAATACGGAGTAAAGAAAAAGAAAATTTCGATCCCAGAAATTAATAAAACCCCATGAATTTCAAAAGCTCACTTGAACATAAGAGCAATCAAACAATTTCTCTGCGTCGGTGAGCTTTATAACATCATGGTACACATACCTTCTCACCTGCAGAAACATAAATCGATCATATTTCAAGATTAAAGAAGAATCAGATGGAATCTGTAATAAAAATTTGGAACCTGCAAGAGGGAGTGAGCTGGAGGATGAACACAATGGGAGCAAATTGCTTCAGAGCAGTCCAAGCAAAAAACGTTCTTTTCATTCTTCTTGAAACCTTCATGGGCTATGCAGGCGTTAAAGAACTTTTCGGTCAACAGGGCCAGCAACCATTGGGGAAGATGAGAAGAACCATCATCCAGCTGCAAATTACAATAACAATTCGGTTGGTAATTTAATAAAAAAAAAACTTCTGCAATTTCAATTCGCAGATAGATGTTATTATGAAGTTAGTAAAGAGAATGAATTGAATCAGCCCACCATTTTCATTAGTTACGATTTACGAAGCTAAGGGTGATGATGATGAGGCCTTTGAACGAATTGCTCTCCAGAGGAATTCAGGGAAAGGACCGGAGAAGATTGACGGCGCGGCGACTGTCCGATGGAATGGAATTGATGGGAAGGGAAGGTGATGGGTTTGGCTTTATTTTAGTCTGATGAGTAATACTCCGTAAATTAAAATGGGGAGAGTGTGGGATACTGTGATGACATCCCTAAGCTATATATCTTTGCAAGGTGGCCACTGGCGATATTATAGAGATCGAAGACTGCCGTGTATTCTATTGCCATTCATGCCATTTTAATATGCTTGACGGGACTAAAAGTCTCAAAGTAATCACGACCTGCTTCCTGTAAATATCCTTTAGCGACGAGACGAGCCTTAAACCGGTCAATCGAACCATCCGGGCGACGCTTGACACGAAAAGCCCATTTGCAGCCAATAGGACGCTGCGCCCCACGAGGCACAAGTTCCCAAGTTTCATTTTTTATAAGGGCTTGATATTCAGCATCCATAGCCGACCGCCAACGGGAGTCCTTGAGAGCCTGGGTAACGGTTTTGGGTTCAAGAGTTGGAGGAAGCGGGTGACGAGAGGTAACATGAGACTGGGGTAAGGCCGTGACAAACTCAGGATTGAATATCCGCTTGTTTGGACGACGGTGACGAACAGGACGAGGGGAGGGGGGACCTGGAGGCGACGATTGGGGCGAAGGGACAAGAGGAACAACAGTAGAGGATGGCGGGGAAGATAGTGAGGGAACAGAAGAGGGTTCGGCTGTGGGAACGTGGGGAGGAGAAGAAACGAGCGGACGAATAGCTGTAAGTGGTGGGGCAGCAACCCTGGGTTGGGTACTGGAATTTGTGGAGAACGGATAGCATGTAGGAACGAATTGAACATGACGGGAGACGTGGATACGATTTGTTTGGGGGTCAAGACATTGGTATGCGGATTGAGAGGTTGAGTAGCCCACAAACACACACGAAATCGATTTTGGATGCAGCTTAGACGTGGCATATGGGCGAAGCCATGTGTAACACAAACACCCAAATGGTTGGAGTTTCAGGTAGTTTGGGTCGTGATGGAAAAGCAATTGATAGGGACTGTGATGATTCAAGATAGAGGTAGGCATACGATTAATGAGATATATTGCCGTTTGAAAAGCATACGGCCAGTAGGTGAGGGGCATGGAAGCATGATGAAGAAGAGCTAGACCCGTTTCGACCACATGACGGTGACGTCGTTCGGAGGTGCCGTTGTGTTCAGGTGTATGAGGAGGAGTGGTGAAGTGAGAAACACCATGAGACGCAAGAAACGAGCGTAGTTTTATGTATTCACCGCCATTGTCAGAATAGAGAGAGACTAAATTGGTACTAAAATATCTTTCGACCATGTTTTTATAAATAGGAAATATGGTGGAAACATCAGATTTTCGACAGAGGGGATAAAGCCACACATATTTGGTGTAATGGTCAACAAAAATAACATAATATTTGTAACCATCAACAGAAATATCACTAGATGACCATATATCAGAATAAACAAGCTGTAAGGGAGCACTACTAGTTAAGGAATTTTCTGCAAATGGTAATTTATGACTCTTGTTTATTGAACATGAGGAACAATGAAATGTCTCAAAGTCTCGCGAAGAGACTGGTTTATTACAACGCTGCATAATAAGAGACAAAATTCTATTGGAAGGATGCCCAAACGAATGATGCAGAGCTGACAAACTTGTATGATGCACCATAGGAGACCGAGCAGGACCAGCATAGTAAACACCACCATGATTTTTACCGTGAAGCAGTGGCGCCCCCTTGGTCAGATCCTTAACCACAAAAGACATAGGAAAAAATTCAACCAAAACTTTGTTAGTATGGCATAGTTGGGAAACAGAGACAAGATTTTGTGACAACTGGGGAACACAGAGGACATTGTTGAGGGCTAAGGAGCCCGACGAAGTAGGGATAGAAGTAGTGCCAATATGAGAAATAGATAAACCCTTACCATTACCAAGACGAATCTCATCAGGACCACCATAGTCGGAAAATGATTGAAGAAATTGTGGAGCCGGAGTGGTGTGGTGACTCGCACCACTATCAAACATCCAATTGGTGACCCCATCTGAGTGAGCCGTAGTTGCATGAGCTACAGGAGGGGACGCACCAAAACCTGAAGCAGACGTGGTTTGCAGGCCATGATCCCGGAGGAGACGAGACAATTTTCGACAAACTTTAATGTCATGTCCGGGAATAGCACAGAATTGGCAGGAACCAGATGGCCCACCACGGCGACGGGACTGCTGAAATGATCCGGCCGAAGGATTGTGATGAGAAGATGAACCTGACGAAGAGAAACCACGCTGACCAGAGGACCCTCCGAAATTGCCATGAGACCCACGAGGACCAGTAGAGGAGTGGCGCTGCGTGGAGTGAGCCGTAGCAACAATAGATGCAGCAGACACCTCATCTGAAACTTGTAATTTGCGCTCAAAGTCACGCAATACATCACCGAGTTCAGTAAATGGGAGCTTGGATCCACGAAGAAACGCTGCAGACGAGATGGGGTCGTACTCCGTGCCCAATTGATTGAGAATATGGGCAACCAGATCTTCTTCCGCAACCGGACTTTGATTAAGAGCAAGCTCGTTAGCAATAGAATGCATGTCGTGGAGATAATCATTGATCGACCGATTGCCGCGAGGATTCTTCCCAAGTTTGGACTTGAGAGCAAGAACATGGCCACGACTCGCACTCGCAAAACTGGAGTGGAGATTAAGCCATGCATCACGAGCGGTGGAGACGTTGGAGATAAGAGGCTGAATGGTATCGGTGCAGCTCCCCAAAAGAGCGCCAACAATCGCCTGATCTTGCCGGAACCATAACAGTAGTGGAGGGAGCGTCGAGCGTGCCGTCGACGTAGCCGAGAAGATCGAGACCGATCAGAGTTGAGCGAACTTGACGCTGCCAGATTGGGAAATTGGTAGTGATCAGTTTGATGGGAAAATGAGTTTTCGCATGAAGCTGAAGAACAGGAGTGATGAGAGATGCCATGGTGAACAGGCTGATTGATGTTCAGAGTGGGAAGAACGATCGACAGGGAAGGATCGGGAATAGAAAAAAAAATCTATTCGAGCTCTGATACCATATTATGAGAGGAATTCAACTTGTTATTCATAAAAATAGATCAGCACATATATACACATTACAATGATGGTCGATCCTATCACATAGGAGTTAGGCGCACTATTCTAGGGACTCCAATAATGAACTGCACAAATAAAGGAACGAATATACAATGGACTGAAGATAATTCCCAAAATAATAAATAATGATTAATTATCCTTAACACTTGGTTCCCATGACATTAGAAACCCAATGACATTTGAAACCATTGTCATGAGATGACTTAAAGTGCTCCGATGATTCCTTTATAAAATTGACGATTCATACCTCCTAATTTCTCGGTAAACGCCCCCACCTCGCCCCGACCCGAACACACACCTCACCCCCTTCAATTGCACCTCCAAGTTAATTTTAACTTTAGAGTCAAATTTTGACTCCAAGTCAAAATTAAATTAGGGGGTGCAATTGAAGGGTGTGTATTCAGGTTGGGGAGGGGTGGAAGTGTTTACCGGAATATTAGGGGGTAAGAACCGTCAATTTTACGAACGGGGCAACGGAGCACTCCAGGTCAATGACATTGGTTGGGACTTGGGAACCGGCCTCTTTTAATAATTTAATCGAATGATTATAATGTTAAAGATGTAATCCATGATTGGGGTATTGTTATTGGCACTCCAATTTTTACTAATGGCGCTCCACCCATCTAAATTTTTTTAGATTTAGACAGTTATGCCCCTTCTAGTTGGAGTTAGAAGTTCTCCACTCTGTCTAAAAAATAACTCCACACGGAACAAAAAATATGGTGCATTTTAGATATTATAGATTTTTATAGAAGTAAAATAGAAGTATTTGTTACTTCTTGAAATCAAGTGGAAGACCCAAACGTTGTAGTGGGTCCAACTGATTTGTTTTAACTTTTAACTATTTATAATGATGAAAAATGAATAAATTTATTTTCAAATAAGTATGCAAATAAGTAAAATTAAATATTTTCAAGGTTGAAAAATATAATATGAAATATATCATAAACTAATATAATTAATATATTTCAAATGTTTTACCTTTATATTTTATTTAAATTTCAAAGAACTAAGTCAATCAAAAGCTCAAGCTTACGGCCCAGAAAAGTTTTTTTAATATTTTAACACGTCCCTCTCGTGCAGACATAGTTTTTTCGAGTCTTGCACAAGAAACTTTAGATTTTTTAAGTGGGTGGCGTTGAATTTTGAAATCGCGGCCTCTTGATCATCAATATTCTGATATGATGTAAGGAACCAACTCAATCAAAAAATTAAACTTGTAGTTGTGACAATGTAAAGATTTTTTATATTCTAACATAATTTTAAACAACATCTTTTTGGCACTGGACGTAAATAATTTTTTTACTAAGAACACTCTTTTAATTTATCGGAATATATTTTAGATAACGTGAGATCTAAGTACTTATTACAAAAAAATTAAATTAAGGATATCCCATGATAATGTTGTGGGGTAGAAATGTAGAATAGATTACCTAGAATAATAAGGATAAGGAACATAAGACTTCTACATACTCCAATTGGGAAGGGCATAAATGTCCATGTATGAAAAAAAACACAAAGGTGGAGCGCCACTAACAAATAGTGGAGCGCCAATATCAACAACCCATGATTGGTATTAGAGTGAAAAATCAGAAAACGGGAGATTATTCAGTCATGTCGCCGGAATTTATTTGTTACACGTTCCGCCCCAAACCTAGTACTCCTAGTAGTAGCATTATAAAGTAAGATCTGGGTAATGAAGAATGTTACACTGTCAATATACTCCGTAATACTACTTCCGTCTCACTGTCTTTGTCCACTTTTGATTTTTGGAACTGTTCATCTAAGCACTTTGACTCATCAAATTCTCTCAATGTATAAGCCTAAAAATAGTCATGTGTGATCTTGTTTGATTCATCTTAACATATAGATTATTAATATATAATTTCTATAATTTTTTAATATACAAATTACAAGATAAAATGGATTAAAGAAGTGCATTGAATGGTGTGCCAAAAGGTAAGTGGACAAAGACAGTGGGACGGAGGGAGTACATTTGAAATTACGCACGTACCTTTTAAATTAAATTTGATTTTTTCTATTTCATCTTATCCCGAAATATTTAAACAAGACAAATTTTATGATGAATCATAAATTAATAATGAATCTATGAGTAAAATAAACAGTCAACAAAGAAGCACCTTTAAATAAAATAGTGTGAGTATAAATCACTCTAAATAGGACTAAAACACAGAGAAAAGTACCAAAATAAGACTTTCATGTTTTTTTCCCCAAAATAGGACTTTGCACTGTGGTAATGTGACTTTGCCTTATGGTAATGTGGCAGTATACATGTGCAAATTATTATACTTTTTGGTAATGTATATGACCATGTATGGTAATGTAAGTCTTATTTCGGGAATAAAAACATGGAAGTTCTATTTTGGTATATTTTCAATGTTTTAATCCTACTTTGGTCTTTATCCCTTTATATTTTCACTCCTATTTTAGATTTTAATCAACGTTTTACTCCTATTGCTCTTTAACCCATAAATTTACGGAGTATTAACGCTATGGATTGGCCGGGCCGTTTGCAATGGATTATAATATGGCGGGCCTAGTTCTTTTAAATAAGCCCAACACTCAATTTAAGAGTTAGGCTTCCTTGTTGCATTAGGGTCCATTCTAAATGCAAAAATGAAAAGAACAAAAATTTAAACTAACAATATTTTGAAGATGAAAATCGTAATATTCTCACTTCTTCAGAAATTTATTTTTTCAAACTACGTGTAAGATGCTATTTCTTTTTAAATGATTTTATTTTCAAATTAGCATATAAATAAAAATAATTTATTCAAACGTTATATTGAAAACTCTACAAATTAAGTGCTCAAACTATTTTTTATCCAACGATCAATTAAAATGCACCGTTAATAAAAGTTATTGAAAATACTCTCTCTATCTCAAATTAAAAATAAAATTTATATATTTTAAAACTACATCAAAAGTTTTACAAAATAAAAAGTGAAAATACTACGGAGTATATTATTTCATTAAACAACTAATAAAAATAGATTAAGAAAATGATTAAAAATTTGATCGTGTGAATAATAATTGAGAAGAATATTGTAAGATAGAGACTATATATTGTTTAAAAAAATTGAAATATAATGGGATGTAAAATTGTCAAAAAATAAAGGGTGTCTTGGCCTAAAACCACTTTGTGAAGTGAAATTGATGAAGGCTAGAGTCTCGCTCAAATTTGTGAGAGGATATAATTTGAAGTTGTTATCTCAAGTCATTAATTGAAAATGTGTTAAGTCTTTAGCTTGATCAAAGTCATCAAACAAGACCCTTTGCCAGGTAGACTGGTACTGCCTGACGGGGTCATTAGGTAATACAGTACTTAACAGTTAATATAGAGCATTTGGTATTCTCTTCTTTCTATATTAATCGTCTAATAAGATATTTTTTGTACATTGAAACATAAATGAATGTAAATATAAAATGTATATATCTATTTGCTTTTCACTATATCAAGAATGTCCTATAAGGCTAAATATGGGATGAAAGGATTAATTTATGGCGCCTAGGAATATTAAAAAGCAGAGAAAAATGAATGCAAAAATCCTAATTCTAGATTTTTCTATCCCAAAATATTTTTCACATTACACAAAACTAATTCAAAATTTAAGTTTCTGGATACTCAAGAACGATATTGGAGTTAAATTCATCTACTCACTTCGTTCATCAAAATACGTTACTTCATCTTTCAATTTTTTCTCTTTTATCAAAACACTTCAAGTTTCTATTAAAAAACTAATTTTATCCTACCTATCACGTCATACTTTTTCACTAATAATTATTCATCAAAACTTACTTTTACGGATAACATAAATGGCAAAATTGAAAAGTCAATTACAAATTAACATTTCATTGTTTTGGCTCTCGATCAAATTAGAAAGTGTAAGTTCGTGGGGGTGCGACGGAAATCAACAATTGAAAGTTACATAAACTGATCAAACAACTATGATGTAGATAAGATACTACATCACTCTCACAGTAGCAGATGACAGACAGAGTGTCATAATATCTTCTCTCTGTTACAAGCACACATGCAGAATATAAAGTAAAAGCAGTAAACAAGACAGAGGAATTGTTAACGCAGTTTGGAACAACTCTCCTATGTCTGCGGGGTCTACGTCTGTATAACAGTCCTTCCACTAAATCACCGTAAGAATTACACAACCAATCACAAGAGAAGCTTGTAATGTATTGATTTGTACAAATTTTAATGTAGAAATAGCATAATCTTTTATCTTATCTACAATAATCCACAAAATCTCTCATCTCATCCACAATCCACACTCTATTTACTAAGGGGGTGTATTCAATCACGATTCTAAAAGATTTTGATAGATTGTTTAAAGTCTATGGATTATGTAAAATGAATGAATTATTTTAAGTCTATGCAGAGTTTGGAAGATTTTAATGTATTTTATCAACCGGATTTTATAGTATTCTATCTAATTGACCATCCAAAGATGCAAAAAGAGATTCCTGCAAAAATGTATTCGGATAGGCTTCCTTTCATTTCGAAAATCAAAATAGAAATTCACCACACAAAAAACTTCATCCGTTTTCATCCCAATTTCTAAAGCCCCAACATTGGTAAAAAAAAGCCCCATCAACAAGTAAAGTACTAGTAATGTGGAGATATGTGAAGAGAGTCCCATCAACATGCAAAAATTATACTTCGTAGCCATAAAGGAATGGAAATATTATTGTGTCATACGTGAAGAGAGATCTATGAATAGAAAAAGAGAGTAATTAAATTCTATGAAGAGTTGAAAAAAGGACTTGTTGATAAATGTGGAGAAGGATGGTCGGTTGAAGGTTGAGCACTGGGAGAGGAGTGGAGAAGGTCGGCAATGAAACTGGGAGGAGTGGAGAAGGTTGAGCACTGGGAGAAGTGGAGGAGTCAGTGATGAAGGCTGCTTGCACCGGCGGGAGAAGAAGA